GCACAATCCTGGCAAGCTGGCAGCAAAAGGGCAGCAACCTGGCTACAAGGGGCCCAGTGAGCAAGGCTGGCAAGCGAGTAGCCAGGGGCTAGTGACATAGGAGTATCTGGTGAGGGGCTGGGAGTGGGTGGTGAGGGGCTGGTGAACAAGCAGTGAGAGAGCGGCAAGGGAATGGCGAGCAAGCAGCAAGGGGAAGGTGAATGGGTGGCAAGCGAGTGGCGAGCAAGTGGCGGTAAGTGAGCTATGATGGGCCATAACTGAGCGGTTATTGGCTAGTGAAGGGCCAGCAACTGAGTGGTTACTGGCTGGTGAAGGACTGGCGAACAAGTGGCGAGGAGCCAGTGAGCGGGCTGTGAGGGGTCTGCAAGCAAACGGTGAGGTGCTGGCGAGAGGGTGGCAAATAAGTGACAGTGGGCCAGTTATGGAGCAGTGAAGGGCCAACAAGTGAGAGGCTGGCAAGTAAGGGGGCAGCAAGCGAGCGTTGAGTGGGTGGATGATTGTGGTGAGCGAGCGGGAAGGGGCTGTCAAACAAGCAGCAAGCAAGCGACCGACAGGTTAGTGAGCAGGCGGTGAGCAAGGGGCTGCCAAGTGGTCAGCAAGCAGGCGACAAGGGGCCGGCAGTGAGTGGTCAGCAAGCAGGTGGGCGATGAGCAGCCGGCGGCGAGGGGCTGGCAAACAAGCGGCGGCAGAAGTGGCAAGTAACTAGTGGAGGGGGCACGAAGGGGTGGCCAGCTGGTGAAGGGGTGGCAAGTTGACTGAGGGTGTGGAGGCCAGATGGTGAGGGGGTGGGCAGTGGGCTGTAAGAGTCCAGCAAGGAGTAAACAAGGTGTGGGTGCTGAGGAATTGGTGGTAGGCAGCAAGCGGTCAGCAGGGTGGGGCGTGGCGGCGAAGGGACAACATGGTGGCAAGGGGTTGGCAAGCGGGCGGATGGGCAGGCAGTGAGGAGCTGGGCAGTGAGGGGACCATGCCAGACAGTGGCAAGACGATGTAGTGTGCTGAGATGGCCATGGCAGGCTATGGTGGGACAACGTAATGCGCTGAGGCGGTCATGGTGGGACGACATAGTGCGTTGAGGCGGCCATGGCAGGCCCTAGCGGGACAATGCAGTGTGCTGAGGGAACCGTGCCAGGCCATGGGGGGCCCAGCCGGCGTGCTGAGGGGCTCTGGCAGGACGACATAGGGTGCTGAGGGAACCGTGCCAGGCCATGGGGGGCCCAGCCGGCGTGCTGAGGGGCTCTGGCAGGACGACATAGGGTGCTGAGGGAACCGTGCCAGGCCATGGGGGGCCCAGCCGGCGTGCTGAGGGGCTCTGGCAGGACGACATAGGGTGCTGAGGGAACCGTGCCAGGCCATGGGGGGCCCAGCCGGCGTGCTGAGGGGCTCTGGCAGGACGACATAGGGTGCTGAGGGAACCGTGCCAGGCCATGGGGGGCCCAGCCGGCGTGCTGAGGGGCTCTGGCAGGACGACATAGGGTGCTGAGGGAACCGTGCCAGGCCATGGGGGGCCCAGCCGGCGTGCTGAGGGGCTCTGGCAGGACGACATAGGGTGCTGAGGGAACCGTGCCAGGCCATGGGGGGCCCAGCCGGCGTGCTGAGGGGCTCTGGCAGGACGACATAGGGTGCTGAGGGAACCGTGCCAGGCCATGGGGGGCCCAGCCGGCGTGCTGAGGGGCTCTGGCAGGACGACATAGGGTGCTGAGGGAACCGTGCCAGGCCATGGGGGGCCCAGCCGGCGTGCTGAGGGGCTCTGGCAGGACGACATAGGGTGCTGAGGGAACCGTGCCAGGCCATGGGGGGCCCAGCCGGCGTGCTGAGGGGCTCTGGCAGGACGACATAGGGTGCTGAGGGAACCGTGCCAGGCCATGGGGGGCCCAGCCGGCGTGCTGAGGGGCTCTGGCAGGACGACATAGGGTGCTGAGGGAACCGTGCCAGGCCATGGGGGGACCACCTGGCCTGCTGAGGGGCTGTGGCAGGACAGCCTGCTGGGTTGCTATCACCTCTCAATCCTTTACATCACAGCTCTGCTTCAGGTGACGTCACAATACCACGGATTCTGGAGCAAGGGGATTGGCTCG